AAAAAATGCATGTTTCATGATATGCAGGCAATAGTCTTTTAGCAACTTACCCAGTCCCTCAACAAAACTTGGATAAAGGCGATCAGTGAACACAGCTTCAGGCAGCTCACGGAAATATAATTTGAGCACACCTGATACTGCGTGGATGTCCAGTTCACTGACCAACTGACTGCCAGCTTTGCTATCTGAAACCAGATATCACTGAGATAATAAAACCTATTTACTCTCATACTATGGCTGAATATATACAGTCATACAATTCAAAATGATGGACAAACTGAACAGTAATGCAACACATGCTGGTGTGGAAAAATGACATAATAAGTCGGCATTTTTAGGGCATGCAATATTCAGAAACACATAATTTTTACAACTATAAGCATTGCCTCTGATGAAAACTGAAAACTTACTTCTTTCAAACGCCTTTTTAAGTGTCTGGACATCGGCAGTTGAGGCCGATACTCGGTAAATTCCCATCTCATCAAGACCTAGAACAAACAGGAGGTCAGTTTAGCATTAACATAAGACACGTTAAACCTGCAAATATGGAGATTTACATTCACTTTAATAAAACTACAAATACTACAAGTATTCATCTCAATTCAATTCTAATTTGGTGATAGTCAGTAATTTTTCAAAAACAAAATATAAGTCACTGAAACAGATTTATACTTCAGTGATGAGGATAAAATTCATTCAGTTGAGCTCAAGGAGTTTTACTGTTAACTTAAAGCATGGGTTTTAATGAAAAAAGCAGGATACCTACAGGCATTGGTAATTTACAAAAATAAAATGATTCTGTAAAGTTAAGACAAACACAATTCTTTACCTCTTCTCTCTATTTCTCTACAGCATGCTTCTACTATTAGTGGTAAAGGCCTCTTTTCCCGTCTGCAATTTAAATAAAAAAGTATGTATGTATTTGCTACATTTATATGCCAAGCTGAAATAGGCAATTCCACATTTATAGAATCTCTGAACACTGAAAACATCTTAGTTAAGACTATTTGGCATACACTGCAATAGGGACATTGCAACAGTGTGCTCTCCAAATTGGCACCTGATAGGAGACAAGTTTGGTCAGTTAATATTTATGCTTATCTTTAACGATTGTAATAAAAACGTGTAAAAGTAACATTGGTTCATAGCAAAGTTAAAAGCTCATAAACAAAGAAGATGCAGTAAAGGAATGTGTACTTACTTGCAGGTATCACTAATTCTGACTCCAAACAGCCCTGTTTTGATTCTGGACACCCTCCTCTTGATGGTGTGTTGTGGCGAAGTGTAGCGGATAGAGACAGTTAAAGACAGTTCATTGGTTGAGTTTATGGAGATTGTCTTCTCTTTAAAGTCTCCCCTTATCAACCAGTCCTTGCTTAGCTGAAAAGATGAAACATCTTTAATTTATGCTTATACAGACTTCAAATGAAAGAATAACCAGTCTGGTGGAAAACATGGTTGTAATAGTTTAAATGTCAGAATGCAATATATGTCAAATAGGAAAACTATAAGTGATTTTTCGATACATTATTCAATCTAACAAGCAATGATCTCACTATAATTTCACTGAAAAAATCTAGCAATAATCACATGCAATTAACTGTAATGTGTATATGTGTGCTCACACATCTGATTAAGTTTTACGGATACTGTAAGAGTTTATTATCAACCAGTTACCAGTATGAGGTTTTTCCTGCATCTAATTATTCAATAAGGCATCTACCTTTGTGCTGATTTAAAACAATATAAATCCTAATATAAGATATTGGAGTTTATATTTCTTGTTGCTCTGTATAAGCGTAGGCAACTCAAAGCTTTTATGGTCAAGTTTTTTTCTATTTTGAGGTGCGATAGCAATTGGTATGGAGTCCCTGGACAAGATTTTATCACAAAAATAGGTTGACAACAAGTGTATGGGATTCAATCCTGTGCCACCCTTTTTGTTTAAATGTTTTTGTTATGAACCCCTTTTTACAGATTTTCATTAAACAGGCCTAATGTTGCTTTATCAACAAAAAAATCTGAACTAATCACAATTATGATGTCACCCCTAAGATGACTCAAGTGTAAATGCTTATCTGTTTAGTCACTGAACACTGAAGATTTATCTGTTATCCAAAAGAATGTATGTAAGGCAGTAAATAAGAGTTTTTGCAAATGCTTACAGTATCCTTCATACACAAAATGAAAAGATATGTCCACTTACTTCCAATGCACTCTTGCCCAGTAGCTCATCCTCTTGATCTACCTGTCTGTAGCACATGATTCGCAACGTGTGAGAGCCCTCCAAATCTATCTCAAATGTCTGGAAAACAACAGAAGATATTTCTAGTTCAGACATTGACCTACAAAGGTCAACAATAAGCATGGAAAAATATACATGTGTCAAGTGATAATCCATTCAAATTTGGAAAAAACTTAGTAATTATCATGAATGATTTAAATCTTCCTACAAATGCAGTTCAGAATTTTGGCAATAGTCAACAAATGTGACATGTATGTAAAATTTGTGTACATAGTTTAGAGCAGCAATTTTAAAAATAAAAACTTACCTGATTCCACTCGGGCTCCATGGACCTGTTGCAAGTGTTAGTTTTAGCGATGGGATAAAAGTGGCCAAAAGTATCCACCTCCATTGAACAAAATGTGTCTGAATCGGTAAAATTAACTTTATTTTTACAGAGTAATGGCAGGACTGACGTGTAATTTCAAAATTATATAACCCGTCTCAAATGAAACTTTAATAAATCAAAATGGAATGACTGATTGCATTGCACCATTCTTACAACACAATTTATATTTAACCTAAATGTGAACTCAGGCCTACCCAACTACCAGGCTTGGCACATAAGGATCCTGAATTAATTGGTATATCGGACCACACTACCCGTTTTCAAGGTGTGTGTCAGATCGCATTTCGGAGCATCACACCCCAGAACAAATTTTGTAGGACTACCGCGGGCTCATCCACGCTGGGCTGTCACCTTGATTGGAGAGTAAACGATTGTCGTATAATCGCTGTATGATTTTAAAACTGGGTGCATAAATTTGAAAACCACCTAGAACAACATTAGACTGTACTCTTACTTTAGAGTACTCTATTTTATTGTCTCTATGGGGGTATATGGGGACTTTACTACATTCGGTTTGAATGCTTTAACCACTTTTGATAGGGCTTTTTTGCATTGTATTAGATTAATGTGGCAGTCTAAGGTTGTTTTAGGTGGTTTTCAAATTGATGCACCCGGTTTTAAAATCAT